GGGGGGAGGGGGAGGACGAGGGGGGGACCATAAGTGACTGTAGCCGGTAATGCAATGGGTGATCCCTCTTGCTAAGCAAAGGGTCCAGTCAACATGTGATCATCTATTAACAGGACGGTTTTGGCAAGGCAATCTTCACGTGACGAAGCGCGGGGAACGAAAGGAACAGACTCAAGCGATATCAAGTGTCACTTAATTAAAGTATAGATTTGAGCCCTTTCCCTGCTGGAGCTCCCGAGCAAGCTTGGGAGCGCGGGGGGGAAGGGGGGGGCGATCAGCACCTTGGACAGAGGCCGTGGGTTTGGCAGAGGTGGAAGTACCCCAGGTACCTGCCTCGACTCCGGAGTGAATCCTGGAGCCCTTAAAAGGCGGGTTTCCCTGAACCTGGGCTCACACTGAGAGCAGCTGAAGGAGAGAGACTGGGTTGGGAAGCTGCTAGCACTTGTTACCGAGCCCCAGGTCTGTCGCCCCCCTGGAGCCTCTCGAAGTTGCTTTGCCAGCGGCGCCGGCTGCAAGAGGAGCGAGGGGAGTCTCGCCAGCGCCGGGGGCCGGTGGAGAGGGGTCAACTTTGGGAAATGCGAGTGTTTCTCCCCAGGATCTAGCCACCGCTTGTGGGGTTAGCTGTGACTCAGGTAGGCACCGGGGGCGAGAGCCTCCTCGCCCTCCGTCTCGGCGTGTCGCGGGGCTTGGTGTCTGCCCTTTGCCTAGTTTTGTTAGCTGATCGGGGAGGAGTAGGAGAATCGGCATGAGATTGCGCTAGGAGTTGAGTTAACTTGGGTGTGATTGAAGCCGGGAAGCTCATCTGTATGTGTGTGTGAGCGTGTGTGCGTCTCCGCCTCGGCTCGGTGGAGATGCGGCGGGGCTGGGGATGGCCGGGGATGCAGCTCAGCGCCGCGCGCAGCGAGACAGGCGGCGGGTTTTCCGGCCAGAGGGGGAGACGCAGCGACAGGAAGAGCGGCCGATCCCCGCCTCGCCGGAGCCCGGAGCAATCCCCCGGGCCGGCCGCCGGCCTCGCTGCCCCCGGGGGCTGCGTCTCCTCCGGCTGAAATGCACGGGGCGGAGGGGGCTTGGCAGAATGGGAGCCTCACCTGCGATAAACAAGCGGAGCCCATTCTGGGGAGCCTGCTGCTCATCTCCCTCTCCGTCTCCCTCCCCCC